GGGGGGCGGGCCCATCCCTCCGACCCCCTCCTGCCCGCCTCTGCGCCCGCAGAAGCCCTGGCGCGCGGGGAGGCGGCGGCCACGGAGGCTGCGCGGCAGCTGGATGAGGCGCAGCAGCGCGCGGGCGCCGCCGAGGCCGAAGGCGAAGCCTGCGTTGCCCGGGAGGTGGCGCTACGCGAGCACCTGTGAGTAAGGGGCGGGCCCGCGGGGGACAGAGGGACGGGATGCAGAGCCAATAACTGTGCAGCACCTTGTTCTTTCCGCCAATCAGCACTTCGGGCGTGGTCTGGGCGGGGACATGTAGTTGTGGGCGTGGTCTGAGGTCCGGGGCTTTGTTACCTCCAGCGAGGGTCCCGGGATAAACTTAGGGGTGGATGACAGGCAGCTCTCTGGGGGCGAGGGAGCGGGGCAGGTTGGGGCTGGCAGTCTGGAGGCAGGAGTTCCAGGGCTCAAGAGCAAATTGGGAGCCGGGCATTGTGGTGCACGCCTGTAATCCCAGCACTGGGGAGGCTGAGGCAGGAGGATCGCCGAGAGTTCGAGGCCATCCTGAACGACAGAGCGAGACCCTGTCTCAAAAAACAAAACAAAACAAAAATAAATAAAAACAATTGGGGGCCGGTGACTCGGGAAGAACGGGGAGCGAAGAACAGGTGCAAAGAAAAGGATGCACTGGGCCAGGGATTTGGCTCAGTGGCGCCGCGCCTGCCTCGCAAGCTCAAGGTCCTGAGTTCGATCCCCGGTTCAAAGAAAGAAAGAAAGGAAAGGAAGGAAGGGAGGGAAGTACTGAGGGAAGGGTCGATAGTTAGGGTCCCCGGGGGTCCCGGGCCGGCCCTGCTGACGCCCCTTCCCGCAGCTCTGCCCTGGAGGCTGCCCTGGGCGCCCCGAGCCGAGGACCCCGGCCCCGCTCAGGGTCGCGATCCCGGCCCCAGCCGCGCACTCGGCCCGGACCCTCCCGGGGCTGCCGGCGTCCGTCGCGGCCCGTGCGGGGCTGAGCCGCCCTGAGACCACTCGGAGCCCCGCAGCGACAGGCAGGCAGGTGGCCACGCGGGACCGGACGACATCCACGCTCGGCCTCAGGCCGCCGACGCCCGAAGGAAAACATCACAGACAGGGACGGCGCTCTCCCGACCATCCAATCCGTATCCCAGACGGGGAAACTGAGGCCCACGGAGATCAGGGCCAGTGTCTTGGAGAAACAAGAGGTGCACATAGAAGCCGGGTGCCGTGATACACACCTGCATCCCAGCACTCGGGAGGCTGCGGCAGGGGGAGAGGGGCGAGTTGGAGTCCAGCCTGGGCTGCGTGGGGAGATCCTGTCCGAAAGCAAGACAAACAAAAAAATTGAGAGCTGTTTAAATAAAGGAGTGTCCGACAGGCTACGAAGTGGAATACTATTCAACCCTTTAAAAGGCCAAAGTAGAGGCTCTCCCAGATAGAACCGGTGAGAAGCGAGAGGGCTCGGCCGCTGGGGGCGCACGAAGCGCTCTGCCCGCGTCTCTGCATGGGGCGCTGCGCACCGGCTCCGGCTCCGGCTCCGGCTCTGGCTCCGGCTCCAGCTCCGGCGTGGGAGGCCGACCCGCGTTTCTCTGCACCCTTTTATACAATTCGCATTTTTAAAAAAATCGTACACATGCACTGCCTTTTAAAAATTATAAAAATGGGCCGGGAATTTAGCTCAGTGGTTTCGCCGCCTGCTGTGCAAGCTCAAGGACCCGAGATCGATCCCCGG